CGTGGAACCGCTATATCTAAAATATCATAGTTTACATTAACTATTTTTTTGAATATTATGTTTTTAAATTTGGTAATACGAAAACGTTTCAGAAAGCAAAATGTTAAATACTTTTAAATATTAAAATTGACTTTATAAAAAATTAGGAAAAAAATTAATCAAAAAGAGTTCAAAAATGTATTATAATATTTTCAGTTTTAGTTTAATTATATTTTTCATTCTCAAAGTAGAAAAATATATTGTAATTATTTTAATTTAATAAAATATAATTTAAATTTTTAATACTAAAATTAAAAGATTAAATAATAATAAATTTAATTCTTTAAATTTAGTATTTAGAAACTAAAATTATAGTTTCTCTGTTTTAAAAAATTAAAATAAATATTTAAAAATAAAAATCAAAACTAGTATTATCTTAAATTTATTAAAAGTATAATTAAATCTCTATTTTCTTCAATTTTTCTTTTTTTAACTTCTCAATTCTGCATTTTTGTCAATTCCATCATTATATTATCATCCTCATCTCCTCCCATGTTCTACTTTATGTTTACAATAATTAATATTCTTAAATAATTTTTATTTTTATTTATAATTTTTTAATATATATTTGAGAAATTAATCAATTATAATCTATTATTTGAAAAACTAATCAATTCTAATCAATAATTTAGAAAACTAATCGATTATAATTAATTATTTGAAAAAATTATCCAATATGATCGGTTATTTGAAAATTTAATCGATCATAATGGTTGTATATGATAGCGGTTCATCGAAACCAGCTCTTAAAACGAGAACATCTAATAGTCGTTAAACCTTAACCGCTATCTAAAATATAGTTTAGATAGCGGTTAACGTGAAACCGCTATTATATAGGTTGAATATAAATTTATATATATTTTTAATTTATTTAGATATGGTTTATTTTTAGTATTTATAAAATAGATTAGTTTTAAATTTTTAACTTTTCTAGCGAGTCTATTTTTAATCTTTGTTATTAATTATGTTAAAAATGAAAAAATATTAATTAGTATACTTAAACTAATGTATATTGATTATCTAATGTATATTGATATAATTTTTTTGTATATCAATTAAATGAAAATAACCATGGTTAAGTAATTAATAATAATAAAGCAATAAATTTAAAGATTAGATTAAAAATAAAGTTTTATAAAATAAAATTGTAATAATTTGATTAAAATTTTATTTTCTTAATTAATTAAGTTAATGAGGAATTAAAATGTGATCATTTGATGTGTTTAATTTTTTTAATATAACTTTTTTAAAATTTAATTTAATTTCAATTGAAATTTTCAATTCAAAAATAAATTAAAGAATATTTATTATTAAACTTTTCTTAAACAATGTATTGAATAGTTAATATTACTCTAGTCTTAATTTATTACAATTTAAATTTTTAATAAATTTGATTTATTTTTAATAATATTTTTATTTTAGTAATTTAAAATTAAAGTTAATCTTCATTTTGTTAATATTGAGACCAAAGTTTATTTTTAAAGTATCTTTTAAAAATTAAATTATTTTTAGAAAATAAATTACTTTTAAAAAATAAATTGTCAAAAATATACTAAAACAATTAAAGTATATTTATAAAAAAATAAATTTAAATATCATAAAAAAATAATGTTCAGTTAGCGATCGATTTAAATTCGGTCAGCTATTTTCTCATTAGCGACCGATTATAATTCGGTCACTATTTCAATTTGTAATTCGGTCGCTAAATCGATCGCTAAATGATTTTTTTATTTTAGTGTGGAATAGCCACCGATTTAGCGACCGAAAATTTGCGACGCAAACTATTGATCGCTATTTCGGTCGTTAACTAAAAAATGTGAAGCCAAATTATATTTCGGTGGCTAAATCGGTCGCTAAATTGTAACCGAATTAATTCGGTCGCTAATTCGGTTGCTAATAGCGACCGAATTAAATCGGTCGCTAAATCGGTTGCTAATTGCGATCGAATTAAATCGGTCGCTAAATCGGTCGCTAATTGCCACCAAAAAAATTTGGTTGCTAATTTCGGTCGCTAAATGTGTTTTTTCTTGTATTGAACTTGGACTTTCATGACAATATCATTAGTATATTTGAAACTTATAGGAAAACTTCTATTTCTTTTTTCCATTTTTACTCTTCTATCTCTCATCTTTTATTGTCGTAGATTTTTCATGTAACTCCTTTGAAGTGAAGAGCATAACCTTTCTCCATTATTTAATTAATGCTCAAGATATTTTCTTTAAGATTAGAAATGAGCAAGACATCTTTAATTAATCACGTACCTTTCATAGTCTCTACCATAACGATATCTCTTCCTTTTGACTCTACTAACGTGTCATTTCCTAATCATACTTTTAGTTTGACAAAGTTGTTAATGTCCCCAAAGATGTTTCGTCTTTGACCATGTGATTACTGCATCCATTATCTAAGTACCAACATCCGCTTGTTTCATCATTAAAGTCTCGGATAACATTAAAAAAATGTTGTTGAAGGTCATTTTCTTTAGTGAAATATTCTTGATCCTTGTTATTTTGCGACAATTTTTCTATACATGTCCAAATTTCATGCAATGTTTCTCCATGTTACTTGACTTTTTGTAGATGCTACAAGGAGAAAATTTATTTTGACTAGACTTAGAAAAATTTCTTGAAATTCCTCTATTTCTAGAAATTTTTTCAATTTTCTTTCTTCTAATTTCTTTATTCGATATCATAATTTTAGTTTTGATTAAAAGACATTTTCAATAAAGTCTTCATTATATCTTTTCAATCTGTGTTCATATGTTTTAAAAGACTTCAGTTATCGATAAAATAGACATATCCTTGATTTGTTCAATTGTTGTTACAATTGCATCATATTTTTGAATAATAGAAATTAGAATTTTCTTAACTATTTTCTTATCAATAATATTTTTCCCATGTAATCTCAATTGATTGATTATTTTTTTAATTATAGTATAATAATATTTCATGATCTCAAAATTCTTTATACTTAATAACTCAAACTCATATCTTAAAATTTGAAATTTAATGATATCTACATTTATACTTAATAATCTTTATTTCTCTCTCTCTACAGTTATATGTCTATATTAGGAATTTATCAGATTATTATAATTTGATCTGATTTGATTACTTTTTGGTTTTCTCTAATTTAATTTGATATTTTTATTTACTTATTTTATGTTCATTCTATGCTTGAAAATTTTATCTATTTAAGTAAATATTTTATTCTTGTTATATAATATACACAACAATGATTATTTATCTTCTATTGTTTTCTCTCTCAACAGTCTCTAAAATTACATCATATATATAATATGAAATTAAAAGGTTGCTAGAATATATTTTCTCGCTCAAACTTACGTAAGTTTTCTATTTCTATTTATACTAAACATTGTAAAAATTATTTTTGGTTACTAGATTCTTAAACTTAACTTTGAATGATATTTTGCTATTTAATTTTTCATTTTACGGAATCCTTAATACTCATTATCATTTTCATCGATGTATTATTATTATTTTTTTCTTTCTCAGCCTTTTCTTTATCTATAGCACCAGTTCATCTTCTAGAATATTATTATTTTTTTATTTGTAATAGTTCAAATCTCTTCAAATAAATAGTTGAATTGATTTTAGATTTGTTTTTTTCATTTTCATGTTATATTAGGGGTAAATAGTGGTAATTTTTTCATTTAGAAATTTTTACTTAGTATTTTTCATTTCTCAACTTTTTTAAAATACAATTTTCTAAAAATAGTTTTAAAAATTAAAAAAAAAAATCAAACCATCTCTAGATCTATGAATTCATTAGCATGGTTCATTTTCTTATAACACGATAATTAAGAATAATTGTTATTTGAAATTATTAAATTAAAAAAATAAATTTTTTACATATACTTATTTAGAATAACCTCACTAGTACAAAATAGGCTTTTAACATCGGTTCTAATTTATTATATTATTTATATTTTTTAAGAATTTGAATTATTATTCGATTAAGAGAATTGTCACTGGCAAGATTCGAACCCAGTACCTTAGAGTCGAAGGTCGATACTCCAACCACTAAGCTACTAAGATTTTCGATAATAACTTATACATAAATTATATTTATTTACAAATAAAAATGTATATCCATGTAAATATATAAATATAAAATATATAAATACAAATACAAATATATTTATATATTTATATGTTGGATGTGAGGGTGCGCTTGAGGATGAAAGTGTGTGTTGAGTGAATTTTCAAAATTTGATGTCAAATTTGTGAGCGAGTTTCTTTATATGGATTATAACTTAATGACAAAATATAATATTTATAATTTATTTATATAATGATATAAAATAATTTTTTTCTTTATTTTATATCATTATATAAATTAATTATAAAGATTATATTCTATATTATTATAAATAAATTATAAAGATTTTATTCTATTATTAAATTATAAATTCATATAAAGAGACTCAGCTCACAAATTTAACATCAAATTTTGAAAACCCACTTGTCACACACTTTCACTCTCGAGCGCGCTCTCACATCCAACATATAAATATATAAATATATTTGTATTTGTATTTATATATTTTATATTTATATATTTACATGAATATACATTTTTATTTGTATATAAATATAATTTATGTATAAGTTATTATCGAAAAATCCTAGTAAGCTTAGTGGTTGGAGTATTAGTCTTCGACTCTAAGGGTTCGAATCTTGCCAATGACAATTCTCTTAATTTATAAAAAAACTTTCTACATCGGTTCTTAAAGAGCCGATGTTAAAAGTGATTTCTCTCGTATCTGAATAACATCATAACTTTTTATTACCATTAAAAAAAAAAAAAAAACTCAAATCCTTGATAGTATTAAAAATGTTGATACTCAAAAAGATATTCTCTTTGTTTCAGTCAACCTCTATAAATCTTCTCTCTTCCCGAATTTGTTGTATCAAATTTGAAGTTGCACGTAGTTTTTCATGGCAAAGATAGTCCTCACTTTTTTTCTTCCGGTGTTGCTGCTATGTGCAGGTGATGTGTACGCTCCCTCGTTTATATTAATTGTATCACTTTTAAAATTATGTTGATCTTGGATATAAACAAGTAAGTTTTATAAGGCTAATTAAGATTTAGAATCTACTTGTTGATACAAAAATTATAGTGAAATTATGATATATATTGAGTTCTTATATGATGTTTCATGTTGGTTTTGTAGGGTTATCTAGTTTCTAATTTTTTTTTTCTGCAATTTTGTCAGGAGTGCAATGTGACGTGACTTTCAATTTCGAAAACCTGTGCACATACCCAGTGTGGCGTGCCTCCAACCCGAGCATCGGAGACTTGGAGCCACAAATTGGAACAGACGTGTTTGAGATATTCAACATGGACGATCACTACAGCGGTTCAATTTGGTTGCGAACAGCGTGCACAACCAACGCCTCCAATTACTTTTCCTGCGAAACCGGTGACTGTGGAAACGGGATCATGGAGTGTGCAGACCTGAATCCTGCATTCCCTGTAACCCTTCTGAATTTTCGTGTTGACAACCCTGTGGTGTCGTACCAAGTGAGCTTGGTTCATGGCCAAAATATCTTGGTTCGAATAAAACCTAACGGTGGAACTCTTGTGGATGGATCAGGACCCTGCCCCATGGTGGATTGCAACAAAGAGCTTTCAAGTGTGTGCCCTTTCTCTTTGATTGCTTTCAACAAGGGTGGACAATATGTGGGTTGTAATAGTCCTTGCGATGGGTTGAAGGATCCCAAGTATTGTTGTGATGGTCATGGTTGCCAATCAGATGAGATATCTCTCAAGTACAAGGGGCTTTGTCCTCTTGCTCACACTTACCCTGGTGATAATAATCCTCCCTTTTATCAGTGCAAAGGGGCTGAAAGCTATGACATAACCTTTTGTCCTGCCCTTTAGATTTTTCCAACTTTTCGATGCTAACATATTATTGTTCGACTTAATCTTGAAAGATGGATATGGAAGGAAATAGTTCATTATTATCGTTATTTTTTCTGATTTGTGTTTGGTAATCAGAGAGAGTATCGTTTGTGGCAATGGGTATTTGTTGTAAGTTTAATGTATACAAGTTTGAGACTATTTTACAGGAATTGATCTATCCTTATTTTACGTTACAAGTTGACCGATATCAAGGTTGAAGAAATTGAAAACACACTATGAAAAAGTTATTTAAGATAAGAGAAAAAGAGACAGAAAAATAAGTTGTGTAACTGGATTCATTCAATTGATTTATTTATCCCATAACCGGGGTCATGGAAAATGAAAAAAATCCATAAAAATGTTTGGTTGAAGAATTTATTACGATTTTTTTAAAATATAATGATCTTCAAAATTAAATTTAGATTCGAGGATCAATATGTCCAAGAAAGATATTAACACCCTAAAAATTTCGTACGATTATCTTTAACTAAATAGATAAAATTAATATAAATTTTTAATATTTATTTTTCCTCAAATTAAAATAAAAAATATATATAATAAATATTTTTAAGTTATTTATTTTTTCGAATTAAGAAAATATTTATAAAATTATTTAATTAAATCATATAAGGATTAATCTTGTTCTATGTATTTCTATTCGTAATAAAAAATCAGTATTTATAAATTATATTTAATTTTATTAAAAAATACATTTAACTTATATAAGATTTATTATATAAAAAATAAATATTAAATATAAGATGATGAATTGATCATAGATATATTTTAAATTTTTTATTTTTTATTTTTTATTAAAGTAATTTTTAAATAATAAAATATAAGATGATGTGTATATATCTTAAATAATTTATCTTTTTAAATTTATTACGTGTAATATTAAATAAATATTTTTAAAAATTATTTATTAAAATAATTTTAAATGATAAAATATAAATTATACGTATATTTTTAAAAAAATATCTAAACAAATTTATTATATTTTAAATTATTTTTTTACATATATTTATTATAGAGGATTGCTTAACGGAGAAATTAGTTTTATGACGACGTGTAATTACTACAAGCATACAGCTAAAAAAGTGAACTATGACTAACTCAAAAAATGCAAAGACATTCAGTCTGACCTGTCAAATAAAAAAAATAGTTTAATTTATGTTTTAAAATAGTTATAATTTTTTTTACTCTATATTAGATAAATATATTAATAAAATAAATTTAACCTAATTAAAAATAAGAAAATTATCAAAATATTTATATCAAAATATTTAATTAAAAAATTATTTAAATAAAAAGTTAAAAAATATCTTTTAAAATTTAACTTATATTAATAAAATTTATTTTTCATGATAAGAGTTAAAAAATTGTATTATTATTATTCATTGTTTAATAAGTTAATAATTTAAAATAATAATTTATCTTAAATAATTTATTTTAATTAAAATAAATAAATATTAGAGTATTCTTGTAGTTGTTTTTAAAATAAATCAATTTTTTATTAAATTAATTTATAATATATATATATATATATAATTAAATAATATTATTTGTATTTTTATTTAAAAAATTATTATCCGGACAAGCTTCTTTTCATGTGAATTAGAGCATCTTCAATGGTGGATTCTTATAAGAACCTAGCTTGAATTCTTAAGTGGGATTCACAGTGTCACATCATATTTAAGCAACTCTCTTCAAATTTTTACAAATTCACTCCTTGTGAGTTTTTATAAGCAATTCACCATTTAACTACCACTTTTTATTTTAATAGGACCCGCTATGCCACGTCAGTAATAATTATAATATATAATTAATTATTAAAATAAAATAAATAATATATTTAAATTAAAAAAATTAAAGATAAAATTGATATTAGAAATACGATTAATATTAATTAAAATACAAAATATTAAACAACAATGATAATAAAAATAAACAGAAATTGAAAAAAAATTGGAAAAAACAATTCTTAGGAATGTTGTTTCTACAATATGCGGTGCTTAACTTTTCAAAATTGTTGTTGCCACTGCGGATTGTTCAAACGACAGTTTCTCATAAGCACCATTGCTTATAAGCAACCGGGACCATAAGCAACTCCCATTGGAGCCGCTCTTGTACAATATTATTTTTATTGAACAACTCCAAACAAGAGGATATCTTAAACCGAGTTTCCTTCCTATCCATAGTTTATAAGGAGTCATAAGTAGGGATGACAATTAAACCCGTGCCCGTAGGGACCGACCCGCCCCCGCTCCGAGTTTGACGAGGAAAACCCGAGTTGACCGGAGGTGGGGGCGGTTTCGGGTTTTCCCCGCTTTAAAAAGTCGGGGCGGGGCGGAATGGGTAATGCAATCCCCACCCCGACCCCGTCTCCGTCCCAACTTTATATTTAAATTTAAATTTTAAAATATTAATATTTTAAAAGTATTTTCTTTTCTTTTTCTATTACATATAAGGTAATTTTTTATATTTTACCAATTTTTATTTTTCTTCTACCTATTTTTTAATTTTTTATCTTTTTTAATCTTTTATATCAATTAATTTATTATATTATTCTCTCTTATACCTTGTAGTTTTTCATATTTTCTTAATCTCTCTCATCAATTTTTTTTTTTTTTCAATCTTTTCAATCAATTTGATGAACACAGTTAATTTTTTTATTCTTTATCTTTTTCTAAATATTTTACATAAATCTTAATAGTAACTAATATTATTTTATTTATAATTTATATTTATTAGGTTTTATTATGTCATTTGTTTATCTTATTATTCTTATTTATCAAATTTTATCTTAATAAAATAATTGTATTTTAAAGGATTAAAGGAATTGATAATTTAAACTTTTATTACTTTGAATTAATTAAATAATAATTAACTTATTAAATATTTCATTATAAACTATATATTTCATATTTTTAAATTACAACTTAAAAATGAATTAACTTATATATATAATCAAATGTTTGAATACAAGTATTATAATAATAATGATAATGTTATAAGTATTCAAATATTTGAATACAATATTATAATAATAATAATAATAATGTTATAAATAAAAAATGATTAAATATTTCTTTTACATACATATTTTAATATAAATATAATCAATTAAAATGTATATTTAATTAATAATTATTATAAATTATAAAATTATAAATATTTATTTATATATAAAAAATAGATAGTAAAATTAATTTATTATAAATGTAATTATCTTTTTAAAAATAATATAGATCGGGGACTGGGCGGGATGGGAACCCGAAACCCAGCGAGGACGGGAATGGGGACTTAATTTATAACCCCGGCGGGGATGGGGGCGGGGACGGGGATGATTAAAAAAGTCGGGAGCGGGGATCGGGGAGGCAAAACTCGCCCCCGCCCCGCCCCGTTGCCATGCCTAGTCTTAAGAACCGACTCACTAAGAACCCAGTTAAAAAAATATACAATAGTCTTTAATGCATGTATTCACAAATATAAATGTACAATATTTTAATTTAGCATAGACCTAACCATATCTATTAAAGTACGATTCTTTCTTTCAACAACACCATTTTGTTGAGATCGACATAATGTACTGTTAATATATGTCTCTACTTTTAAGGAACTTTGCAAATTGACCTCGACATATTGTCCACTTTCATTGAATTTTCCATAAATTCATCACCTGTATCAAATCTTACAATCTTCACTTTTATATCTAATTATTTTTTTACCTCGTCAATGAATACCTCTAAGATATTCACTAATTGATATTTTTCATGCATAAGATACAAATAATAATAACGTGAAAAATCATCAATAATGGTGATAAAATTATTTTCACCACTCTAAGATTGAACATCAAAAGGTCACAAATATTAACGTGTATTAATCCTAAAAGTTCATTGCTTTGTAACAAAATTCTTGTATATTTGTTTGGTTTGATTTCCTTTAATACAATTCAAACACATATCTTAGTCATCAATATTCAATTTAGGTAAAATTTCATTTTTCATTAACCTCATTATCTTTTTTTTGTTTAATATGTGATCTAATCTTTGATGTCATAAATAAGTAGAATTATCATCATGCACATTACACTTACTACCAATAACATATTCAATATTAAACAAGGACTTCATAAACTTTACATCATGATTAAAATAATATGAACCACCTATTAAAGCACCATATCAATAACAATATATATCTTTAAATAAAGAAAAAACATTGTGTCCAATCTATATAATTAATCCTAATTTATCCAACTTTGCAACAAAAACTAAATTTCTAACACATTCGGGTACATAAATACATCTTCTAAATCTATTCAGTATCCAAGATTAATCTATATATCACAATGTCATCTATTCTTGCTTTCATTCTATTGCCCATAAATAGAAACTTTTCACTTCCTCTTATGGTTTGGATAGAAAGGAATCGTTGCAAAATATGTTCTAGAATCAAGTCACCAAGTATTATTAGGTACTTCAACAATATTTATTAAAAATTTATAGATATATAAATTTTTCTTTTATTTTCAAACCATTTCTTTGTTATAGGACAATCCTTCTTGAAGTGACCATTCTGATTATAAAATTAACACTTCTTATTCTTATATATTTTACCTTCATTAACCTTCAATGGGGTCTTTCCTTTATTCTTTCTCCTCGTCTTGTGCTTACTACCACTGGTTCCATCATGAGTCATGAGATAAACAAAGTTGTCATTCATTTTATTTAATCTTCTTTCCTCCTAAACCAACATGACCTTAATTTTCTGGAAGCTTCATTTTTCTTTAAGGGTGTTATAATTCACCTAGAACTGGTCAAATTCAGCAGGAAGTGAGTTCAAGATGAACTACACTAAAAAGACTCACTCACTTTCATTTCCATGGACTACAACCATAGATGTTTCAGTCACATGATCATCAAATTGGTTGAGACCTATCAAACTTTTTGTTTGTAAGCTCACTTGTCAGG